TTTTATTTTCAAACTACATAATTGCCTTCCAGGATCAGTAATTCAAAGTCCTATTCTGGCTGTTCAACTGTTTTGAGAATCTCAATGTTCAAACACAGATGTGTGTGTACACGTACACATACACATGCCACATGTCCCCTCACTGTCGATAAATCATCACAAATTGAGAAATATGTCTTATCTCAACTAGAATATTTCAATAATTTTAACGGACTTTTTGTTAATAAAATTTATTAATTTTTGTTGATTTGTTAACTTTTGTTAATTGTTAATAAAAATATATTTTTATAAGGATCTAAACATCTTTTTAGAAAGAAGTACATTACTAAAATATTTTAAAATGTAGCAACAGATAATTATTAACTGTAATTTCTGGTTATAATCTATTACAAAAATAAGGTAAAACAGATTATACCTGGATATTGAGATGTATTATGTTCTCTAGTAACTCTGGAATTATGTTAACCATAGAAAAGAAGCATCTGCCACATCTCAATGGTGATACCAAGTGTTTTCTTCCTGAATTGACAAGAGAAAGTTACCAAGAGGAAGATATGTCATAGTTACTAGAAGAGAAGATGTAGAATGAGGATGGATTAATTATTCTCATTTGCTTACATTTTTTCAGAGCTATGCCGTTTCTCATTTTATTTGTGAATGATGAAAGGCGTGTAATACTGCAGATACTACTAATAGAATTAACTGCATTTCTGAAATGATTTGGAAATTTAAAAACACACTGGCAAATGTGATTTATTACTGATTTAAACATTCTTAATCATGATCAACTTTTCATCTACTCACTCCAAATAGGAGCACTGTATGCATCACATAAAATTAGCTTAACTGATTTTACAGTGACTGTGTTTTATAATTTTTCTTCCACCATCTCTAGGCTACATTTTCGTACTAATCACCCCCATTAATACATTGTAGACTGCTTTGTTGACTGTGTGAGGGGAGACTATCTATGGTATATTACTAGGTGTACGATTCTCCTAGAGTCAAACAAGTTGAGACTGATGAATCATTCCTTTGGTTTCAGGTTGGTTTAGATTGAGGTTAAGTAATAAGCATTGTAAACCCATATCCAAATAGTGGTGCTACTAAGCACATAGACATTTGGAATCAGATGAATGGGAGGGGAGTAAAAATTTTGTGTTAATATTATCAGCCCTGTGACTATACGTTTCAGCTTTCTTCTTGGGAAATGGAAAATTATGACATAAGCTTCACAGAATAGATTTATACATAAAATAAAACGATGTATGAAAAACAGTTTGCATCATTTCTAGCATGTGGTAACTAAAAATGATAGCCATTAATTGCATTATTATTGGATATTTCATGTTGTATGTAAAAAAGAAACAAATAACAAAAAAATGAAAAATATTGTTCAAAAGCTTTAATTATTGTCTTGCCCTCCCACAAAATCCTATTGATCCCCCCAAACTAAGTATTAACTCATCTTAAACCTGGAAACAGCTCTTTTTAGATGCCTAATTTTATAGCAGCTGAATAATTCCTTTTAGAGATTCTTTGAGAGGAAAACAGGGGAAATGCTCTGTCTTAATAATGTTAATTTCTTGGTATGACTGCAAAAGGTGTATATATTCTTTGTTAAATTGAACATGCTCAGAATAATAATTCTGAGGAAAACAAATAACATGTAGGAAAAGTGTAATAATTTGATTACACTTAAAGATGCACTCAAAGCATGTCTATGAAAAATAAAACAGCTACTTTATGTACCCTAGAGATTGGGAATACAATTTTAAGAAATAATTACTTTTGTTTCTCACCTTGTCACTTTTATGTGTTAGGATCCGTGTATCACCATTTATCTTTGTCTGACATTTAAAGCATGCTTTAGCTGGCAATTAATTTCTTTTTCTCTTGTTTTGTTTTTTATCTCATTAGTTGAATAGAAGCAAATAAATTGCCACATTAACCTATTAAAACATTATCTACCATTGTTTGATAGTTTCAAGTAAGGAGTTAGATTTTGGATTTCTCGTACTGTTGTAGTTTTCCATGTGTTTGCTTTTCCTGGACATCTCCAGATCTATAGTATCAAGGGAATACTCATGGTGATTATACCAAAGTGATATTGCTGACATAAGATTTTCAAAAGCATCTCTAAATTGTTACACGTTGGATACTTTTGAAAATTTATTAAGATACAGGAAAGATAGAGAGCCACCATTTTCCAAAATGAAAGACAATTATTTAATTTTATTTTATTTATGAGAATAAATATAATGACATTTTTGCAAAAATTGCTCCCTTTATATATGTATAATCAGCTATCAATTGTAGGTATCACAGTGACTACATTTTTATTTAGGAGATTTTGTGGAGGAGTGGTTGATGAAATAACAGCTATACATGTATATCTTAATGCTTTTTCTGTCCAGAAGTCATTTTTTTTTTTAAATAAAAATGTACTTTTTTTCTTTTTCTTCCCCCACTAGATGTGGGTTCTGTGGAAGGACTTGCCTATCACAGAGCCTGGGATACACTGTACTGGACAAGCTCCACCACCTCATCCATCACCAGACACACTGTGGACCAGACTCGACCTGGAGCATTTGACAGGGAAGCTGTCATCACCATGTCAGAGGATGACCACCCACATGTGCTAGCCTTGGATGAATGTCAAAAGTAAGAAACAGTGTAGTTTTATTTCTTCATTGTAGTTATAAGTCAAAAGAATATCAGAGTTCTGTTAATTTTAAGAAGAATTAATTTTAAAATAAAGTTTTTCTTTGAAGTTTTATTTTCACAATTCATAAAACTTTTTTTATGTCAGAGCATCATAAATGTGAAAAATTAAAATCTGGACCCTTTAAATGCCAGGCTTCATCTCTCTGAGAAATCCAGTAAAAACAAATTTAAATAATTAAAGACAAAATGGAAAGAGACAATACTATGCTGGAAAAGGCCTATGAAGAAGACATTAATGCATAGCTGATTGGAATCATAAATTTAAAAAAATTAACATACACGGAAGACTAAGAGGTTTTTTTGTTTTGTTTTGTTTTGTTTTTT